TTAATTTACAATTAAGTTTTACACAATTATATACAATATATATCATATGACTTTGACATGTATCTAAATAGGCCAATCACGATTGTGGTGGTTGCTGAATCGGGTCAAACGAATGCACAGTCGTAGTCAAAAAGACAAAGTAATGTGTCCTAATCTCTATTATTACCCTTATTTTATTTTGTAGATGGATCTATTATTACCCTTATTGTTGTTTGGGATAATTTAAATAAGTATATTTTTTGAATTTTTATAAAATATGAGTTTGGTTTAGATTGGGTTTGAAGTGATGTATTAGAGAGATAATGTAACTTAAATAAGATGATATTAGTTAAACTTGGCCTTTATTTTGTCGATGGACACTATGATGGAAGTTTTGTTTGACAAATTATATTTTATATATATATATTATATATGATATATTATATTATATAAAACAAAGTCAAATATGGAAACGGAGAGGGAGAGAGAGGGAGAGAACAGAATAGATCGAGAGAGAAGCAAGGGAAGCAAACAAAGACGAAGAGAGAGAGATGACGACCTAGGGCTTCGACGAGAGGGACGAAGACTAGGGCTTCGAAAGGAAAGTCAAAGGGCGCGAGATCGAAGTCGTAGAACAGATGATCGAAGCTAGCGACCAGGTTCTCTCCTTGCCCTCTCAAGAGTGCTTCCTTCTCGCATCAGATTCACGTTTCCCTCTCCTCAGATTTGCGATTCTGCTGTGATTCTTCCTCAGAGTCGTCACCATCTGAGACGATTCCTGCTACTAAGGTTTGAACGCTCTGTGGAGGCAAGTGGAAGCATAACAAAACGACGAGTCTCCTCATTCTGCACATAAGCAAAAACTCCTCATTCTGCACATAAGCAAAAGCTTTCTCAAGGGAAGGTAAAACGTCCATGCCAATAGCACGACTTCAAACTGGATCAAACTCTAAGTTGAGACCCTCCAGAAATTTGAAAACCCTCTCATGCTTAATGAATTTGCAGTAACCCACACAATCAGTCGGCCAATTGGTTTATAATCCTGAAGATGATCAATACATTGCAGCCATTGCTAAGAAAAGTGAAATACTGAAGAACAGTCATCTCACCCTAAACTCAACGGTCAATAGAACGGCGCAACTCAAATGTCTGTGAGAAATTCCCTATCTAGAAATATGTAGCAACCACGGTTTCCCAAATGTCCTAAGCAGTATCCATGGACAAGAATCCCTCGCCAATATCAGGAACCATCGAGTGGATAAGCCACCCTATAATCAGAGAATTCACAATCTCTCATCGATCATAACTAGAATCTATGATGCTTGGTGCTTTGATTATCCCATCAACATAACCCAAATTCCCTCGACTTTTCAAGAAAAGTACACTGCGACTAAGCAAAATAATTCTGACTATTAAACAACGATGTGGTGATTTTTAATTTATAATTGAGGTTTTCAAATGCATTAGTCATAATGGGACTTTCCCCTTTAGGTGGCTAGGAACTAGTGGTGAATTCACTAGTAATTTCAGCCATCTTAGTATGCTACTATTTAAACAACCTGTAAAAATCACTACTACTGGTAGAAAGAGAAACAACTGGAATCAAGGCACATATAATCAACCACAAACCATAGAAGGAGCAATACAATCAGTTAAATCAAAGTCATAAGGCTATATATTGATCCAAAAAATAAACAAAAAAATTGGCATAAAGTATTGTCAATCAAAGCAGGGAATGAAATACACCCAATAAAGAGGAGAAAAATTCGTGGAGAAGAAACGGAGAACAGGTGAGTCGATCAAAGCATGGGCTGGTGCGAAGGGTCTTATGGGGGCTGGATGACATCACAAAGAGACCCAGTGGTGGCTAAGGGACTTGCAAACCAAAGGAAGCTGGGTGTGCCGAAACTCCTAGCCTAGCATCAGATGATGCCAAAACAAGGCTAGGCTGCGTCGCTAGCCCTAGTGAGACAGAGGGTGGTCCAAAAACCAGGTTTGTGGTTGTCGGCAGGGGCTAGATGGCTGTCAGAGTAGGATGAGTGGTTGTCGAAGTAAAATGAGTTACGGTGGTTGGGTGGTGTAGCATGGTGGTCGGGTGAGGATGGGTAATGAGTTATTGCTCTGATACCATATTTGTTTAAGAGAGAAATTAAACTTGGGGTGTGATTAGGTTATCACCCCCTTTTATATTAAACTAGAAACTTACAATAGAAGCCTTTAGGCAAAATAAAGAATCTACAGCTAATGACAATTAATAAGGAAAGACAATAATAAAGATATTATGCAAACAATGCTAATAGTCACCAAGTCCTGTTTAATAACATTTATGTTTACAGTTCTTTTTTTTGTTCATATTTACCAAAACTCATTTAGCGTTTATTTTCATTTCTAAACAAACAATTTTGAAAATTTCCTAAATTCATTTAACCCAAAAAAAAGTTATTTTAATTTGTTTTGAAACAAGTTTTCATTTCTTTCTCCCTCCCGCACCCCCTACAGCTACCACCAACCACCCATCACCACTGCCAACCACAACATTCGGCCACTCCCCATCCTCAACCATCATCACTGCCGACCTCCTCCAACCACCACCTCCCACCGGCAATCAGCTTCTATCACTATCTCCGGAAGCCAACAATCACCTCTTATTACCTACCGCAAACCACCTCCCATTGGCAACAATCACCTCCGATTGCCGGCAACCATCTCTGGCCACCTTCTCTCACTTGTTTGTAAAACAAGTTTGTGAAATACAAGGGTAGCAAACATATTTTTTGTTTTCGTTTTAGCAACAAAAAAAATGAAATAAAATAATGTAAACTATAAACATCAAACAGCACCAATATCTAAAATGAACAAAAAAAATGAAATAAAATAACGTAAACGGTAAACATCAAACAGCACCAATATCTATTTTTAAAAGATATATCCTACACATTGAACTTTTAACCCAAGAGGTTTTAAAGGATTTAAGAGTAATAGGTACAAATTCACATTGCTTTTTGTTAAAATATTGGCCCTTGATTTATTGTCTTCAAATTTCTACCAAGATCCATGTGTTTCATTTGACCAATAGACATGTGAATCCCCCCAAGCATCTGAAATGTGTCCGGTTTTAAAAATTATAAAATATACATATATATTTAGGCCTCGTTTAGGAACAGGCTAATTTAGTAACTTTTTGGCTATTTGGCTAAAAAAGTAGGTAAAAAAAACTTATATATTTGGGACGACTTTTTGGCTAACTACGAAAATATGTGCAAAAAGTAGAGAGAAAAGAGAATCTTTGACTTTTTGGTATGAATTGTTGGCTTTTTGGCTAAAAATGTAACTTTTTGACTTTTTGGCTAAAAAGGTAAGTCCCCAAACGGGGCCTTATGACATTTGAACATGCCAGACCTATGTAGCAAAAAACTCCTAATTTGGTGATGTTCTTACTAAGAAATGCGCAATTCCGTACTCCTAAGTAAGAAACATGCCGCTCCCATCGAGAAAGAAACTTGCTCCCGTCAAGAATGAAACTTGCTCCCAACTAAGATAGAACCTTTCCAGCATACAAATACTAAAGGGGGGGAAAAAAAATCAAATTTATTCTAGTATTTTCTATTTACATAATATTTATTCATACTTAACAAAGACAATTTGTAATTGACATCAATCTCCAACAAAAATTCATATTTTAACAAATATATTACAACTAAGTAGAAAAAAATAAATTTTAGAATGAAGTTATATATTCAATAATTTAATACATAAAATATATACATACTCCCATTGGCACTCCTAATCTTAGAAAATTCTATATGCCTTCACGCCTACGTCCCCAATCCCGCTCCCGTCCCCGCCCCCCGCTTTGTGCAACTAAGTGCCAAACATCAACACATGTCAAGAACAGGTTCAGCTAGTGTCAATGTTAGATACGTGCACGGGACCATGCTTCTTAAACATTTACCAACAGCCCAAATATTTTAAGATTAATTGAAGAATTGGATCCTTGTGAAATACATTCATATAAAAAGAAGGTGGCCTAGTCGTTGAAGACAAGCCCTAGGATGAACTTATATTAGAACCTTCATGGTTCGATTCTTGCCATGAGTTCGCCGAATCTTACCTGAAACGCGCATCTTGTAGTTAAGGCGGGGGTGTATCCAGGGGTTTACCCAACCCATACACAGGAAGTGTGAGGTGGGGTTACTTGTCAATGAAAGAAAAAAAAAAAAAAACATAGGGCTTTTGGGGTTCATCACATAAGCAACATCTTTTATTATGACCTCGAGACAAAAAGAAAATCCACCGCAGGTGCAGCAGCTCTAGTCCCCAAAATAGTGACACATAAAAGTAAGTTCAATGCATGAAAGGCCAAAAGGAGAAAAAAGGCGCACACAAAGATAAAAAGAAAGATAAGTCTTGCTAAATAGGTTGGAGAAACATACGGTGGGTTTGATTTGGTTTTGGGAGATAAATTTTTTTTAAAAATCTTGGGAAAAGAGCTTAGAAATATTTTTGGTTTGTTTGGTTGTATATTTTGGAAATAGTTTTGGAGTATGGGAGTTTGGGATGATTTGATATTATTGTAGTTGAGTAAATGTGTGTGAGAGAAAAAGCGATTGAGAATGAGAGAGGAGAGAGGAGAGAGGAGAGAGAAAAAGTGATTGATTGATATGTAGGAGAGAGTGATTTCGGGAAAAAATTTCAAAAAATTTCCAACCAAACAAAATTTTGAAATTTTTTTTCAAAAATTATGTTTTGAGAGTTAAACCAAACAAGGCCATAATCTCAAGATGACAAACCATCAGTGGTTGTGATTACTTGGCTGATTATTCACATTCAAATTCAAAGAGACATTCATATTTCAATTTGTGGCTAGAGTAGATTGACATTATACTAAGGTCCAAAATTGCAATGAATCAAGTTAAAACTGGCTACAAATGGAAGACCAGCACCTAGCACAACAAAAATGGATAATCATGATAATATAAATTATAATTACTAGTTCAAGAAAAGGAGGATGCATCTTTTACCCCCTTTGAATTTGACTTGGGTTTGTTGCTGCTATGGTTTGATACTGATGACTTGTCCTTTACTTGTTTCTTTATGCTCCCAGTCACAACCTCAAATATTGTTGGCAGATCATTTATCATATTGAAGAGGCGTTTCCTGCATTACAAGTTCCAGCAAGATTTCATCACAAAATTGACCATGACAATTAGCATAAGGTGACATTAGACAATGTTGTTGAACTACATTCTGTTCCATGCATATTCAGCTATTTATGTTGGTGTAACATCTCTAGATATGTCTCATAACAAAATATCAACATCATCTGAGCAAATGATAAGCATCCTATAGGCAATTCCATCATTACACTTGGTTCAGGAGCCCTCCTGCAGTCCTGCTAACTGATGCTGACCAAATCAGCTTTTTGCAGTGCAGAAATGGTCAAAAACTTTGGTTTAATAACAAGAAAGAAAGTGGCTCAACCTTAGCAGGCAAATTTTAAGAAGATGAAGTAACAGCAAGACATCAGATTTAGTTTGGCTAATGAGAAGTGCTTCTGTTCAAATCTGTGGTACACACATTCCGAAATATAGTACACTTCCGTTCCAAAACAATAAATTTAATGATCCAAAGCGATCCTAAAAGTTTTTTCCAATACATTTTGTTAAATGTTAACTTAGGAGGAATAAAAATCAAATATAATGAACAAAAATTTAAGGTGACTTAAGTTTTGACAAGACAAAAACATAAAAAATGAAAATATATATATTTTATTAGATGCCTAGTAGTCAAAATTAAATTATTGTAAAAGTACCTTACATTCTTAAGTATAATACATATTCTTAAGTCTACCCTTATCGTACCCACATTTTAGAGCATGTAGCATACCACGTTCCATTTCCGTTCCACGTACCAGAACGATCCAGGTTCCAAGTAACATAGGTTCAAATATACTATATAGGGAACTTTTTGAATTACAAAATAACCTAAAAATAAGTAACTGATATTTTTCTAGACCATATGCCTTTTCATTTGGGCTTATTTTTTCGTACCATAATGTATACAAAAATAACAATTTGAATTCCCCAGTTAGAATCAAATAACCCCCATCTAATCTAATGATTCAATTTGGATTGAAAAGAACAAAGAAAAAAGAACAGCAAACTAGAAAACTAGAATGGTCAAAAAGAACAGCATGTTTCAATATAAACCATCTTTTCTAGCAAACTAGAATGTCTAAATTTTCAAATGCACCACGGTTGGGGTGAAGGGAAGGAGAAACACCTGTCAGCTTTATCAAAACCAAATCTAGCACCAAAATAGAACGCCACAGCAAGTAACCAAGCATCACTGTGAACAGCAACTAGAGCCAACCAGTCTTTCTCTTGCATCCCATCCCTGGCAAAGTTAATGCCTAACGCAGGCTCTGGGAGCTCTGGAGGCACCTCTTCAGCAGGTAAATTAACTTCCCATTGCTCACTAGGGAACCCATACAGACAAAGATTTTCTTTTTCTGCAATGAGTTTTTCAAAGACAATAAACATCAATATTGAAACAGTCACCACAAAAAGTTGCTACAGAATCACATTCACAAAAAATAGCAACAACTTAGTCATCTAAGTGGGAAAGGTAGTAAAAATTTAAAAATCCCCCTCAAATGAAGTAAAAGCACAAGCAATTTGATCTAATAAACAAAGATAAGCAGTCAAAATTACAAATTCCTTGGCATGGTCAAATTAATGCAAGTAAGGTGCAAAAATAATAGAGAAGTTCAGTTACATGTCTCACAAACTATTCACTATGCAGCACCACACTATAAAGCTAATGAACAAAACATGAATAGCAATATTTAAGATAAGTTCTCAACATATACTTAACCTAGGAAATGCCATAAAACTTTTGTTTACCCTAAATTACAAAGGATACATTTATCAGAAAAAATTACAAAGCCTATCTCTCACCAAACTATCCTTTAGAGCTCTTAAATGGCCAATCCAACAAATATTTCTTATTCAAGAACAATTATCTATAAATAATTATAAACATTATCTCCTTTCTTTAGTGAGCATGAATAAAATAGAATTGATTTAGAAACATTGGTGCATGCAAAGGTTCATTTAAAACCACCAAATGGCTGCAACCTATGAAGCATGCGTACTTCGACAAACATGTCATACCCGTACCGGGTACCTACCGGCATATGATATTTCTATATACGTACCGAGTACACGAAACACATACCCAAATTTTTTCTTTTTAATTTCTGACATACCCAGACATACCTAATATATATCTAAGCAGTACCGTACCTCAGTCGAAACAATATTTTCTTCTACTACAGAGATAAAATTCCTTTCACTAGACTTCTTTTTATTTTTAGTTTTATGATTAGCATGATTTTAAAATTAAGATATGGTTTGTAAGTAATTTTGGTTTATACCTTTACTTTTGGCATTAAATGTTAATTATAGGTTGGATCTTAACAAATTAAGCCATTTAATCGATTTTTGCATTACCGTACCTCAGTCGAAACAATATTTTCTTCTACTACAGAGATAAAATTCCTTTCATTAGACTTCTTTTTATTTTTAGTTTTATGCTTAGCATGATTTTAAAATTAAGATATGGTTTGTAAGTAATTTTGGTTTTTACCTTTACTTTTGGCATTAAATGCTAATTACAGGTTGGATCTTAACAAATTAAGCCATTTAATCAATTTTTGCATTCCTCCAAATTAAAAATAAATAAATTTTTACAAACGCACCAAGCCGTACCGGTACCCTCCTTTTCTTGGATTTTACCGTATTGACGTACCAGAACTCATACTCGTACTCGTACTCGTACCCGTACCCATACTTCATAGGCTGCAACACCTTTTGGACCAATAAGATGTTGGGGGCAGAGGCAAGAAACTTCTCTTAAGTTACATTCACATAGTCATAACCATTCACCCAAATGAAAGATCATTCAAAAGAATCTACCAACTTCTATTAAAAACGGCAAACTAAAAACCCTCAAGGCACTAAAAAATCCATCTTCATATGCGTGCAGCCAGAGATAGAGATTATTAGAATACACTGGAGCCAAATTTTAGCTCAATTATTGCAAACAAACTTCTAAGCTCAAATTGTGGCAAAAAGCATCATGAATGCATAACATGTCTACCTTGAAGGTGATGGAAATGCCACATAGCAGCCTACCTCACAACTATGCTGTGTCAGTCAGAAACCAGTGATCCATTTAAAATGGTACAAGCAACTCCATGGTAATTTCTCCTCGTACATAGAAGTGACAAATAGAAAAGTCACAACATGGTGAATGACATCAAGCACCATAGGTTGATTAAATGACAATTACAATAAAAGATGAACAGACCTGCAAAGGCAATGATATCGAGAAAGGGAAGAAGCAGAGAATCATAAGAGTGAGAGACTCTTATCATGCTAAAAAATCCAAGAAGGAATCCATAACTGCATAAGTTATTATAAATGTCTATGTCCCCATTGTATAGTGTTCACAAAAGACAACCAAATAAAAAGCCCTTTCTTCCCCCACAACAAACAACAGAAAAAGAAGATGAAGAACTAAATGCTTTAGTAAGATTACAAAAATCTGAGGACTCCTTTTCCTTCCATTTCTTTTATCATCCACTCCGCAACATCTAAGAAAGCATCTCCAAACTGAAAATAGAAAAAGCCACTTACAGATATTTATCCTGACAGGTATAATTTTATATAAGAAAGGCACAAAAAGTACTTAGGTAGGTGAGGGCTTTTTTTTCTTGATAAGAAAAAGAGACGGGTGAAATTAAGACCATATGATTAAACATATTTAACATAGGTTGGAGGAACTTGCTTAAGCCTCAGTTTTACACATGGTTGTTAAAATCGTACAAGTCACGATTCGATACGAGTTTCATGCTACATGATACGACTCGCAAGTTTGAATCGGAAATGTCTCTAAATCGCACGATTCAATATGTGTATCGCACAAAATTGTGTGTCTCACAAGATTTGGACGATTCTTGCAATTTACAAGGAAAGGCATCATTTTCTTTCTTTCTTTCTTTCTATTCGATCGATTGTCACAGATGTTTAGTTTAGATCAAACCCATGAGTCAAATGACTGAAAACAAAACAAAAAAGAAGCTCATATCTGAGAAAGAGATGCAGAAAGAAGAGCATACCTATTCGCCACTATCTTCACCATCTCCTTCATCAGGTATGCTGATGCAAAGTATAAAAAGCTCAAGGAAGGCTATATTTAAAGAAACAATGATATTTGAACATTGGCATGATTTCATACAGAAACTTATAGAAATCTTCTATGATTATGTTTCTAGTATTATTAGTTTTATTTTATAATTATATTTATGTTTTGTAGGATTTTAAGCTTAGGGATATTTTGGTAATTTGACGAATTTCTGAATATTGTTTGTGTGGGTCACCCATGGATTGTCTTATGAGTCAAATTGTTCAATTAGTTTTAATTTATATTTCTTATTTAGACCTAAATTAGTTTTGGAAGTCAAAATTCAGTAGTTTCCTTTATTGGTTATAGTTGGTTTAGGAAGTCTCAAGTCTATATAAAGTCATGTAATACTTCTAACTCAATAGAGTTGATATTTTAAACAATTTCAAGAGCTTGTGAACTTCTTTATGGATTGTGTGATGCAACCAAACTCTAGGTGTGATGCTTAAGGGATTCTAGGAGTGATTCCTAGACCTATCTTCTTTTCTTTTCTATTTCAATTTACTACCATTCATAGCCCTCTAAAAGTGCATTTTTCAACCTCAAAACCCTATCCAATCACTTCCAAGTCAACACTAATCCCTTCCCCTACCTATTAGCCTTCAATTTAACCCTTAAAACCCTAAATTACTCACTGTTTAGGTCATCAAATAACCTCTGTTTTCAAAATCCAACGTTGTCCCTACAAGTCCTGCATCAGCTTGGTATCAGAGCTTAAGATTCCACCATGATATTTTCACATTGTGGGAGATCCAATACAAGTGGATTGACTTGGGAGGAGGGTAAGGCACTTTTTAGAGAAAAAATTCGCTAAGGAATCTTGAGATGATTTTCTTGATCAATTATATGCTCTTGAGCAAGGTGATATGCGTGTGGTTGATTATACATGAAAATTCAAGAAATTTTTTATGAAGTCTGGAGTAGTAGAAAGTGAACGGATGACTATTGCTCATTTCAAAAGTAGATTGAGATATGGAATCACAAAAAAGATGTCTCATGCATATTTGGAAGGTCTTGAAGATGCTATGGAAACAGCTATGCAATTTGAATTTTTTTGTAAAATTTAAGGAGAAATCTACTGTTTTGAAGCTTATGCAGAATGAAAAATCTATCCAGCAAGACCAGCCAACATGAACTCCAAAACAAAGGGTTAAAGTGCCACAAAAAGATCCTGAAAATTCACAAGAAGATGCGCCAAAGCCTAATGTTATTTTTAGGGATCAAAACCGTAGACAGTTGAAGTTGCCAAGCAAGGAATTTGTTCAAAATCTGCCTAACGAGAATAATGGCCAGATCATGAAGGATGAGAAGCCACCAATTGAAGCTCCATGTATTGAACTCGAAAAGGCTAAGGGTGAAATCAAAGAAATTGTCATTCCTTGTGCTCTTGAGAGTAATGAATTGAAAAGAGCAGTTGCTAGTTCAGAACATATTACCTTTAGAGGTCATGACATTACAATATGAGGTCGCTGATGAATGTGCTCCAATCATATTTAGTGAAGTGGCCAATAGTGAATCAAAAGATGATCTCGTGCTAGGTAAAGAGGCTAAAAAGAGCAGAATTGAGGTTGTTGCCAAAAATATCGAAGAAAGTTTAATGAAAATTGATTTGGATGAATTCAAAGATGCGTTTCCTATGCCAATTGACTTTTTTATTCCAGAAAAATTTAGTGGCAAAATTGAAAAGATCAATCTCATTATTTTTGTTGCTATCTCCAATGAAGAAAAGGTGGCATCAATTGAAAGATTTTAATTTGAAGCCATGTAATGCTTCTTGTAGAAATTTAATGTATAAAGAGAAATAGAGAATTGTATTATTGATTGATATAATGTTATATATATTACAATGATTCATGATTCCTATATATAGAAGAGGGTGAGTGTGTAGTAGGTAAGGAGTAGGTGAAGTGGAGGTGGTAGTGGTGTAGTGGGTTAGGTTTAGTGGAGTAGGTGAGGTGGTAGTGGTGTAGTGGGTTAGGTTTAGTGGAGTAGGTTTAAGTGGGTGAAGTAGGTGATAGGTTTTAACATAATTCAATAGAGTTGATATTTTAGAGAATTTCAAGAGCTTTTGAAGCGTCTTTATGGATTGTGTGATCCAATCAAACCCTAGGTGTGATACCTAAGAGATTCCCGGATTACTAGACCTATCTTCTTCTTTCTTTTTCTTTTTCTTTCTCTTTTTTGTTTCAATTTACTATTCTCGGATTACTATTCACAACCCTCTAAAAGTACATTTTTCAACCCCAAAACCCTATCTGATCACCTCCAAGTCAACCCTAATCCCTTCCCCTACCTTAGCCTTCAATTTAACCCTTGAAACCCTAAATTACTCACTGTTTAGGCCATCACATAACCTCTGTTTTCAAAATCCAATAATGTCCCTACTTGTTCTGCGTCAAATGCATCTCCTTGTCACTCTATAACTCTTCTGTTCTGTTATCTCTCTCTCTCTCTCCTTTTTTTTTTCTTTTTCTTTACTTTGACTGAGATTTTTTTTTTCTTTTTGGCAGGTAGACGTAAAGCAGTTTCTAGTGAGAGAGAGAGAGAGTACGTGAAATTGTGCTTATCTCTTCGTTTGTCTAAATCTTTTTGGTTTTGGTGCTGTTGAAGATGGCTGTAAACAAATAAAGCTATATGACAGTTGTTTCCTAACCCTTGGTTTAACAAGTTATTTTTTGGGTAACATACCATTGGTCAAAAAAATGCAGGTTAAATAGAAGTGCAACATGTTGCCATTTAAACATTAATTAACTTAGAAATTGATAATCACTTGCTAAAAATAAAAAATTATATTAATAAGTAAATTATTTGCTCAATAAAAACTTCATTATATGTACATACATACATATATATATTTAAATATATTTAAAAAAAAAAAGTAAATCTTACGATTCACGATTCGATACGATTCACAATTCAAAATTTTAGTACGACGATTCGGGATTCGATTCGCAATTTGACAACCATGGTTTTACATTTTTATTTTTTTAGTTTTTTAGATGAATTTTTGTTAGCTCTTTCCTAAACACACAAAGTAGTAAAAATGTAAAAAGAACATTCCAAGAAATCAGCTAGTCAATGACCCAATCTGCATTATCAAATCATGGTGCAGATTAAGATGCAACTCTTCAAACTTCTTTGTCACATGGCTTGACACCAAGAATGGACTACAAAAATTAATGGATAATCCAATTTTCTAATGAACTTGACTGAAATTAGGGCTGCAAACGAACCGAGTCAAGCCGAGTTTTGTTGAGCTTGAGCTCGGCTCGTTTACTTATCGAGCTCATTTATTGAGCTTAAGCTCGGCTCGATAAGTAACTGAGCTCGAGCTCGGCTCAACTTGTTAATATTAATGAAACTCGAACTCAGCTCGACTCGGCTCAATAAGATTTCTTTTAATATTATTTAAATAAAAATATTTAAATAAAAAATATTATTATATTATTTAATATAAAAATAATGTATTTATACTATTGTTTATATATATTATATATTATTTAATATATAAATAATATATTTATTATATAATTTAAATAACGATAAACGAGCCGAGCTTATGCGAGCTCGAGCTTGGCTCGTTTACTAAACGAGCCTAATATTCAAACTCGAGCTCGGCTTGTTTACTTAACGAACCAAACCGAACCGAGCTGAGCCTATTCATGAACAACTTGGCTTATTTGCAGCCCTAACTGAAATACATTCTTGTCAGGAAAGCAGTTACAGTTTCAAGGCAACTGGCCTTAGGGTAGTGTATTGAACTGGAGGACAAGGAAGAGAGAGGGCAAGGTTGCTAAAAAGTTCTTATAGTAAGATGCGTGAGCCGGGGGATTTGTCAGAGAATCAGTGTCATACTGGTGCTACGCGATGGTGATTTATCATATAGTAGAATAGATCCTCAGGGCCGCACACTGGGAAATAATCATTATCGGACAAACAGGTACCCATCCAATTCTTGAAAATGGAATTAGACACACAAATAAATGCATAAATGCATAAATACATGGATGCAGAAATTCCCGTCATTGAGAGTGTAAGTTCAAATGCAGTTATGAATCTTCTTAAAACTCGAAAGGTAATAAACACACACACATACACGAAAACATAAGCACAATCACACATACAATTAGTCAGCAAGGAAGATCCAAAACTGCAGAACCAAAGGATTCAATTACTACCAAAGCAGAAAACTAGAACAACAGTAACCCAAAATGAGGAAAGAATCACATAGGGAAGCTTTTCCCAGCATACCCTAATTAGTCAACAGCACCACATTGTAAAACACGTCGTAAAACTCGAATCCAAATCAAATCCACTGAACACCAATTGAATACACAAATAAACACATATCTCTCCAGACAGAGAAAGAGAGAGGAACCCTAACTAACCAGGATCGCATTGCTGGTAGAATTCTTCGACATCTGCAGAAAATGCCAAAATTTATTAAAAACGCATCAGAAAATGTGCCAAAAACAGAACTATACAAAACCCTAAAACTCAAAAATCTGGAAACAAATAAAATTGGAGAAATTACTGATTATTGATTGTATAAATATATTCACAAAACACACACACACGCATATATATGTATATATACCAGTAGTGAGGGCTTTGATCATGCCGGCTCGGCGACCCTTGAAATCCCTGAAAACCTCCTCCACTGTTCGAGGGTTGTACTGTGCACCTCCGTCCATGGCCGTATAAAAAACACGCACACACACACACACACACAGAGCTTCACAACGTATCCAGGGATTTTTCAAAAAAGTTAAATATATATTTATATAGATGATATAATCAGAAATTAGAATTTTTCAAGGGATGATAAGCTGAGTGAGAAAGTACAAAAAACATAACCCATTTGCATTTCGCAATTCACTACACCAACAACAACAACAGAATTGAGAAACAGAGAGGGATTGTGGCTTTCAGAGGGAAAGGGGGCCAAAATTACTTGGACTTCCATCCGGGTATGGGTAAAAAAAAAAAAGACTAATAATATATTAATTAACTAATTAATTAAGGGTAAATTACAATTACCTCCTCGAGATTTAGCGTAATTGCATTGCAGAAATTTCTCCTAATAGTTTCAATAATAACATTGACTTCATTTACTTTTAAAATTATTATCAACATGTACCGCATTATTAATATATTTGTTGATGTCATAAGTAATAAAGCCAAAATTACCAAGATTGTCCCATTAGTTACTTATCTATTCACATAATAACTTTCATTTATCTCTCCTAAGGTTTTGTATAAAAATTAATAAAGACTTGTGCATATTTTAGCAATGTTGAATAAAATTATTAAATTTCATATAATATTAAACTAAAATCCTAAATTGTTAAGATATTATTAACGTATTTAAAAAAAAAATTCTTAATTTTCATTAATAAAATATCTAGGAATAAATATTATCTCTAACATTGATTTTTTTTTTATGACCAGGTATCCGAGTCAGTTTTTTACGCACCTTGATTAATCCCAAGACCCACGCAAAGCGCCCCCTCTATGTAAATCGAGCAAATCTCTAGCAGAACTTGCGGTGGATTGGGCAAATCTCAAGCAAAACCCGCGGCATGACCCCAATAAGTTGATAACACCTAATGGGAGTTAAACCTAAGACCTAGAGGAAGCACACCCCCAGGCCCTAAGTTACACCCACTAAGTCGATGTTATTATAGATGACACCCTAATAATTTCGCATAAGACTTATTTCACAGTACATATGAAAAATAAAAAAAATAAAAAAAAAACATAAAACTTAAATTCAATTTAAACCGATGCTTTTATTATTTGAATTTAATTTTTTTTTTACAAACAAAATGTTAAAACAAGAACTTTAGTTTTCTTAGACAAAATGAATTCCATAGAATCCATAGAATAATTCTTGAATATTGTATATTTTAGTAAGAGAAAATTTGTGAAATATTTCTCTCCAGCTTTTGGTGGTAGTAGAGGTCCAATATATGTTTTTTCTTATTTGATAAGGTCCCTTCATAATATTATTAGAGAAATTTTAACTAGTCACACCGAAAGTTCACCTGGGCAAATTTCTGCGATGAGTTGAAATTTTTCCGTACCAAAATTTCTCTGTGCTAAAATTTCTCTGTGCCAAAATTTCTCTGTAAAAATATTGAAGGACCCCAACTACTATGAAAATGTTACATATCATTTATCTTATAAAATCTTAATATCAGGGATCTTAAGCTAAAATCTCTTTTAGTAATTGGGTCATGTTTTACCCTATAATTCAAATAAGTTTTTTGTGCTTTGTATTATAGTTTATAATGTGAGGAAATCTCAAGTTCCTCGTATTTGATTCATCAATATATATAAATCTATAAATAAATAAATAAATCTATAGAGATTAACGTATTATGTCTCACCTATATTATGCAACCTTAGCTTAGAAGAGTAAATATGTTTAATTAAAACGATCAGCTTCAAGGTTGATTTTCTTAAATAGTAAACAAAAATTTAATATGTTACGAAAAGGAAATCATTTGCATATTTCGCTATATGGAACCAAGACCCATATAATGACCAACATATATACACTAAAACAACCATGCATTTTATTTTATTTTTAAAATTTATAGAACAGCCGGACGTTAAACATCAACAAATGGCTATCAAACCTTATGTTAAATTAAGCATTCCCTTTAGAAAAATTCTACTGACACCATAATTTTATCTCTCTACACCTATTTTCTCGTTACACCATTAAGAAAAAATTGAAATTATCATTACACCCTTTCATAATACCAAAATTAACACTAAATTAAACTATTTTCAAAACCCCTACAAATTTTTCGTGTTATACCTATTCCTTTTGAATTACTCCAGTGTCATGTTACCGAATAAATTATATTTGTCCAGTTATCTATTGTTGCACATTTACAGATTCATTTCCCTTAAAACATCATTTTCTTTCTTAAGCAATACCAACATTTTTTGTAATTCTAAGATTGAAACAATAAATCATGTACTATTAATGTGTCTTGTATTTTGGAAAGTTTGGCCCAAGTTGCTGGATTGGTGAGGAATTCATTGGGTTGTTCCTGGGACAATTGAGGGGCTATTTCACTAGTTGGCTGGGTTTAAGTTCAAAAAGTTTGATTGGTCGATTTGGAAATCTATCCCATTGGCGCTAATGTAGTCCATTTGGAAATGTAAGAACGAGTGTGTTTTTAATGGAGCACAACCCCAAATGGATGAGCTCTGCGAGTTGATAAAGGTTAGGATTGCAATGTGGATTAAGTATCATTTTCCTACTTGTGCTTGGTCAGTCCATGATTTGGTGTTCAATTTGCATCAATTGCTCTGGTGCTCTACTTTATGGATGGCTATTGGTATGGTATTTGGTTCATGGGCCCAGTCTTGGATTGATACAATTAATGATTTTGGGTGTTCGCTACTGGTTTGTTGTTACTGCTTACTAGCCGTTGGGAGGTTTTGTTTTGTTTTCTATTTGTATTTTTCTGTTGGTTTCTCACAAACTCTTGAGGATTATGCTAGCAAATGATTGGGTATACTTTTTGATATCAACCTAGTTGGGATTGAAAAGTTATACTTTGATGCTCTATAGCAGCTTAGGTTAAGACCTGACCCTTTTCATATTCTTTGATCCAGGATCTGGTACTCATTGTTGTTGTTTACACTCCTTATTGTCTTGTTGTGATATGGGATTGGTTGTTTGGAGTTGTTAGTCTTGTTTTGAACAGGTTAGAAATTAGAATTTCAAAAAGTCTTCTGTATGTTTGTTGTTGAGTTCGCTTGAGTGGTCTTTGGTTCCTTCTAGTATCTGTGTCTATAGTGTGAACTTCTAAAAGTGGGGTGTTCTTCACTCAAGCCATGGGTTGGTCGCTCAAGCGATATTCTATGTCTGAAGCTCGAGCGGTATTTATTTCGCTCTAGTAGTCTCTTACAAGTCCGAACTCCTAGAAGGGGATCATTTTACGCTCAAGCCATAAGTTGATCACTCTAGCGGTTCTTTGTGTCTAACGTACGAGCGGTGTTTTGGTTGCTCAAGTGGTCTGTATGTATATCAATATAGGAAAAATATCTTTTTCTGTTATTTTTTATATATCTCCCTCTAAAAGGTAATCTTATCAGATTTCTTCACTCTATTTCTATCTCTCTCTAGTTCTTGTCTAACCTCCCTTATACACTCAAATCTATTGGTCTCGCCGCCATAGTTCTTTGAGAGAAAGTGTAGTGCACATAGATGTGAACATTTTAATCGACAAAGTTCTAGTTTTTAGCTCCGTCAAACTGTGGGTCTAGTTCTTCTCTCCTTCTAATCTTCAGGTAGAAATTTATTCAACCTCTATGTGTGATTCTTAACTTTGTTATGTGTTCCTTGAAACTGTAGTGATTTAGGAGTCGTGGGTCTGATTTAGGGTTTGATATGGGTTTGGTTTTTGGAGTATAAAAGAGGGATTTTCAAATGGGTTCATGGGAAATGTTGTGGAGACAAGTATATTGTTAATGAAAATCTCTCCTTTAAATGTGTTTTGAAAGGAATAGATGTTTTGTTGGAAATCTTGGAAATCATTGGTTTTGAACTAAGGCAAAAGGAGACAGATGTTGAGCTTTTGAAATAATAATATGAATATACCTGTTGATGATGAGAGTAAAGTTGAATATGTATTATTCATCCTCTATTGAGATTTTGAAATTATATATGTTGCTTGGAGATTTATCTTTGTATAGATATATCTATTTTGGGCTATTGGTGAAGAATAGTTTTGATTGTTATAGAAATTGCATGATGATTAGGTTAATGGAAACCAATTTCTCATACATTTTGCATTGAATATTGTTTCCATATTTATACATTGAAAATGTATGTGTTTGAGAAAAATGGATGAATACCTTGGTTATCTAATTAGGGGTTGTGGCTTTGATATTATCTATATTGGCTTATGTGTCCTTGGTGAAAGTCTAGAAACCCGCACAATTAGGTGTCGATCCTTCTAGTTAGTACAGAAAAATGGCATTGGTAGTACTTGTATAACCTACTGGCAGACACATACCTAGAGATTCTCAACGTTGTATATCCACTACCCTATTTTCTGATTTAAAAAGTATTGTTTTACAAATTGATTTATAATTATGGTATTACATTGTTTTGAAAGAGAAAAGTGTAACATTTTTGGTAAATGGCATGTTTATGCATTCACCATATGACTTTGTTAAATATCATATAGTGTGTTAAGGTATTCTCTATTGGGGTTTAGCTCACCCTATGTGGAAACCAACTTTCAAGTGCATGCCTCCGTCAAGGACTTAGCCTGGGAGAATCTTAGAGCTGATGGCTCATTTATTTTTGTATTATAAATACTTTCATTCAAGCCCCGGGCTTTTTATTTGTATTGGGGTTAGCCCACTTTTGTTGTAACCAAGCCTTATCTTGGAAATACGTAGCCATTAAGGCATGAACTTATCAGTATCCTTTTTCATTTCTATATATTGTTTCGTGTCATATGCTATAGATTTAGGATTTAGGGTTTATGAATGCACGATGCATGTGGCACATTTTGTAATGTTAGTAAGTGAATTATTAAAGAATGAAATCTTATTAGTCTCTGCATAACTATCATACTTTATGGAATTATTTGTTGTTGTTATTTGGGGGCATTACATGATCTTTGCATTATCATCCTCTTTATTGATGAATTTTCATATGATTTGTATGCTTGGTTCACCAATAAAGTTTTTGTTCTTTTTGCTGATTAAAAAAAGGGGGGGCTGACAGGCATGTAGAATTGATCAATATGGGCAGTATATGTTTTATCTCATCCATTAGCACACAGGTGATAAAAAACGAATCCAATTACTTGTTATTGGAGGTACCGGATGATCAAGAACTAGATAAATCTAACAAACATCGCCTGTAATGAATTCATACTATAGTTTCATTAATAATGCACCACTAGCCTTATTGCAATGAGT